TTATCGGGAAAAGGATGAATAATCTAAAAGAAAATTAACAGAATACCTGGATTGATACAACAAAGCCAAAATGGGGATGTGAGGATGAAGAGTCTAGGGGAAAATGGGGGATTTTAAAGGCGAAACTAGTGTCACGAACCGTCTCTCAAGGGGACTGACACACATTCAAGGCGCTGCTAAAAACCTGTTAAGCGATAGAACTAATCTCGGGCATACACGTGTTGGGATATAGACTCGAACGGCGATGCTGTCAAGCTGACGCATACACCTACGAGTCCAAGGGATTTGTTAATGTATCCCTATGGGGAATGTCAAGAAAGAAGTCAAACTAACACCGGGCTTGGCTTAGTTAGAACCTATTCCAAAGCCAAGGTCGGGCCTTTGCCAACGCGAAGAGCGTTGATATGGCAGTTAAGGTGCAGAACTGTGCCTTAACCCCTTCTCCAATGTAACAACCCGTTATTTCAGGTCAATATAATGTCTAAAAATCAAGTCTTGTAATCTCTTTGTGAAGTAATAAGAATATCATCGAAAATTAAAATGTTCAAAAAGCTCTGTTTGAGTACTCTATGTGGTAAATATCGTGATAAGGTTTCCAAAAATATGAAGAACACTAAAATACGAGTTATAACGAAGGAGTTATGACCAATCAAAGATTCGTAACACTACAAGTAAAGCGTTGCTAAACATAAATCGAGAAATTTCAATAAAATGCTTTTTAGCCTTAGGTATCTAAATGAAAGTCTTAGATATCATTAAAACGTGAACATACATAAAAAGAACGCCCAAATCTGACTTCGTATGAGGAAGTTATGAGTTTTCGAAGTTTCAGACCTAGTAGTAGGCAGCTAAAAACTCGAAATAGAGATCGAGTGGTCCTTAGCCGACACAACCTAAATGAAAGTTGAAGACCCCGACAATGGGAGTACAACAGTAAAAATTCTGACAAAAATAGACAACAGATGAAGGAGTTAGATTTAAACGGACTTTTCTAGGCCCGACATGTTAAAAATAGTGTAAAAAAAATAAAGTAAAAATTAACCGACAAAGTCTAAACGAGAGTTGTAGAGCCTTTTCACACCTACACGTGCATATAAAGAACGTCGAAATCGGAGCTCGTACGTAAAAGTTACGGATTTTACAAGTTCGGGACACAAAACCCGAGGCTGACTCAGCCTCACGACGTGAGGGAACCATGCTCACGATGTGAGCTCGTGATTGATGGGTTCCAGAGTGTCAGACACGTCAACTCATCAAAGAGGATATTGCTGACTAAGCCTCACGACATGAGCAATCCAAAACTCACGACGTGAGACCCCAAATCAGCCCCTATAAATAGAAGCTTAAGGGTGTTGGGTTTTGTGCTCATCTCTTTCCATCTAAGTGCCGTTACTCTACGTGATTACCTCGATAAGCCTTCCCGAAGCCCTGGTTTTTCATACTCGAGTTCCGAAGGAAGTTCTAGACTCCCGAGATCCCCGAGAATCCCAAGATTTCAACTCTCTCTAGTTGAAGTTCTACTCGATTGTTCTCTCGACTACTTCAAAACAACCACTTCAATCAAGTGAGTTCGTACCCCTTTTATACATCTTCAAATACTTTATAATGTTCTTTAACACATTTTGGGGGAGAATACAAGTAAACACCCGGTTAATCCCGAGTGAAAACGTGAAAACTCTTGTTATACCTTGCATGCATTAGATTTATACAAAATGCATAGTATCCAGAGTAGCCATCTTTGTTAAACCATTTTATGCATTCAAAGAACTTATGATTTTATGCTTTGTCAAACATTGTGAAAGAGGATCAACATTGCATACAAAACTGTCACTTTAAATACTGATTTAGTTGAGAATCCATGAGACGATTACATCTTCAATGGTACATTTTTGTTAAAAGGTACCACTTAAAGTCCTGTCTATTATAACCAGAGTCTCCCGTTGGGAGAGCATGTCAAATGTGTATAGATCTATAAGGGAAGTCATGATCCCGCGCCCTGACTGTTAGCTACAGCCCTTTGGGTGACAGTTTGTCATAACGTTTCGACGCCTGAAGACCGTCGCCACAGGCATATTATGTTTAGTATGGTTATAAAAACTCACCGGATAGACAATTATTATGGTAGTATGATTTTATGAACGAGTAGCTATTAAAACTATCCTTCATCTAACAAGTGCGATCTTCTTATAGGTTTACTATATAAAACTATGCCTCAACCTTTAAGCATGTTAGTTGGTTGCGATTTTCGGTCTTAGACATTAGAGACTACATGTTACTTTAGGAAAATAAGGGATTTTGCTGTATCCAAAACAATCAACTAATAGGAAAAATAAGGGATTTTCCTGGAGCAACAATTTACAATTCACAACACGGACATTCATATGCATTTCATACTTTTATAAGAAAATAAGGGATTTTCTTGGAAAATGCACGAACTTTGGAATGGCATACATTTTTCTCAAAACCGCTTATGACCTCACCAACTTAATTGTTGACACTTTTTCTTTGAAATAACTTGTATTCTCAGGGAAACGCTAAGCAGGTTTGGAAACCAACTTTTGGGGATTAACGCTCTGACGTTAATTACTTATTTTGAAAGATGTTTATGTATTTATCTTTTGAACATGTAACAAATACAATTATGTAAACATTTTGAAACCTTTATATGTATGGTGGTGTGTACTTTCCTTACTATGAACTGTTACGATACTTATGATACTGAATATGACGTCCTCCGCCCCCCAACGCTTCCGCCGTTCTGGTTTGGGGGTGTGACAGATTGGTATAAGAGCATAGATTATAGTGAATTAAGTATATATCAAAACCATTTTTGGTATACAAGTATAAACACAACTGGGCAAAAACACTCTGAGTAAGAGTCATACTTTTAAAATTAAATTTATTTAATTTTTGTAAAGTAGGCATGCATTCATTTCATATTAATAACGGTGTCATAAATAGATCAATATAGAAGTATTATACATAAATTGTGCAGTGCAGGTGTGCCTTGGGACATGTAATCGGAACTGGGATGAATATAGCCTGATCAACTATATTTGTCCGAGAGTCGACTAACGTATGCCAAGGAGTGTCTACAGTGGACAACAAATTTAAAACTTACCAAGATCATATCATTAAGAATACTATGGGGGCATTTGGGTACCTTCGATCGTCAAACTTAAGGGTAAATTTTACGTACTTTAGCTTATAGTCAATTCTTAACCCTATTCTCGTATAGACTCAATGACTGGATTTCATCACCTCGGTGACCCCTACTACCCCAACCAAGGTAATGGGGGATGGATTGAAGATGATCCCAAGGAGGAACCCACGGAAGACGAGGAGGAGTAAAGTTCAGATAGCTCAGCCTCAGAGCATGAGATAATCAATCCGCCAGCCATCCGACCTACATCCACCCGACCTCCATTCAGGATGGGATTTCAAGGACCAACTCCCGTTTGGGGAAGCCACATCCACCATTAGAGCCAGTAGCAAGGACTGCGTCCTCCTTACGGTATGTGTCGGAACTTCTACGATGTTAGAGGAGGAAGTTCAGCTGATCAAGCACTCCCAGTTGTGGTAGGCAAACTTGCCAACCAGGCTTATCAATGCGGAGTCCAAGCAAACCGGATTCGCGAGGTTGACATAAGGATGGAAGAAAACGCAGCTAATATCCGTCGCCTAGACATGCTACAAGGGAATGCTCAACTCCACACCAACTCCCTCCAGGAGCAAATGAATGCAACTCTCTCCGAAATGAGGGATTTGAGGTAGCAACAAGCTTCCTTTGACAGGCATCTCATGGGAGCCAAACACTCGGATGCGGAATCAAGCTCCAAGCGTAATCCGCGCAACAAGTAGAACTCGCCTAACTCCCAAATTTTGATATGGAATAGGACAATCGGCTAAAAGTCTTACTTTTCTTTAACTTTTTGTAATCAGAGACCTTTAGAAAGGTCAAAATTTTCTAACTTCGGATGTAACGCAACCATAAGTTTAATATATATATAGGGCATACCTCTTTCGTGTGTTAATTCTGTGCATTTCATTCGAGTTCATGAGTTTATTTATTGTTATTCAAACACCATTTGTGAATCAAACTCAAAGCCCTGTGTTGGTCAAACCAAATTCTTGAACTATTAAAGATAGTTAACTCATTATCATTCAACTCTCAACCACCAAAACTTATAATCTTTTATTTTTATTTCTTGGCAGCGCGATGCCTCCTCGTCCAAACCTAAGACCCAGACCACACACGGTACCAAAACCACCTCCACCACCAGCTTATGATCCAGCCCATGGTCCAGGCTGCTATCACGGCAGCAGTGACCGCCACCCTCTCACAAATAAACTCCAATGGAAATGGAGGGGCAGGAAGCAACACAAATCATTCTAACCATGGCTCTGGTCATGGTCACGTAAGGGAATGTACTTACAAGGAGTTCTCCAACGCAAAGCCAAAAACTTTTAATGGCACTGGGGCAGTCATTGCACTGATGAAATGGTTCGAAAAGACCGAAACGGTCTTTGAGATCTGCTATTGCCAAGAAGCGAGCAAAGTCAAGTTCGCTGCTTGCAACCTCACTGATCGAGCCCTCACCTGGTGGAAAGGCCATGTGAAGTCCGTGACTCTCACCGTCGCCAACACCATGAGTTGGGAAGATTTGAAGGTCCTACTACTGGAGGAATACTGCCCAAGGGGCGAGATACAAAAGCTAGAGCAGGAGCTCTGGAACCTGAAGATGACTGGGTCTGACCTAGTCGCCTACACGGCCAGGTTCAACGCCTTGCTGCCTTGTGCCCTACCATGGTCAACCCAAAATCGAAAAAGGTTGAGAGGTACATTTGGGGGTTGTCACCCCAGATTCAAGGTCATGTGTTTGGCCCCCAACCCTATCACTTTCAACAGCGCTAAGCGCCTGGCTCAGCGACTCATCGACCACGGGGTCAAACAGGGGACTGTTGCAGCTACTATCGATCCATCAAAGGAGGTACAGGGGATGGACATTGGAACCGGGTACCCGCTTTTGGAATCGGAACCGCCTCGAAACTGTCGGTTCTGGAACTGGAACCGCCTTAAGCGGTTTCGGTTCTGGTTCCTAAAGTTATGGAACCGCCTTAAGCGATTTCGGTTCCAATTCTCATATTTTTGGAACCACTACTCTTGGGTACCCGTCGAAACCGGTATATATATATATATATATATATATATATATATATATATATATATATATATATATATATTAGTATTTCATATAAATATGTGTGTGTTACTTAGACCAATTTAGAATATATTGGTCTGATTCTATCCCTCTTTGCTCCGAATTAATTCAATTTGGATCGAACTAAGTTGAGGTTTTATCGATAAAAGTTAACAAAGTTAATGTAGCCGGGTTATCCGCTCCAGGAACTAGAACCGCCGGTTCCGGGACTGGTTCCAAAAATTTAAGAACCGTGCGGTTCTAACTTTTTAGGAACCGTCAGTGCCTGTTCCGATTCGGATTCTCGCAAAATAAGACCGGTACCATCCCTACCTAAAATAGTATATAACCTCTAAATATAAAAAAACAGCTAATACTTATGCTGGGCAAGAAAGGGCAAGGGTCCAATATTTTAGTGTACAAATAACGTTTTGCTTAAAAAAGTTGAGAGAGAGAAAGGCAGAAAGCCCGCCATTAATGCTGAGCTCAACCACCAGTCCAAATGTAAATGTATCGTCTATATACATTGTAGAGTACCATTACAAGCTAATTTTCTTTGTGACCTTATCTACTTGATCAGGTTTACCTTCAAATCTAGGGTTTTTTTTTGCTTGAATTTAGAGCCGTGTTGTTAAGAATGTGGAACTCGGCAGAGAATTTATCAGTAAGATCGTCGTCATTCCGGGAAGACGGAGACGATGAGGAGGCGTTACGATGGGCTGCTATCGAGAGATTGCCGACTTATAATCGAGTTCGGAAAGGTATATTTAAGAATATCGTTGGAGATTCGAAGGAAGTTGAAGTTAATAAGCTTGAAGTCGAGGAGCTGAAGGTGGTGTTAGATCGGTTGTTGAATTCCGCCGACGATGACTGGAAGCGGTTCTTCGATCGAATGCGGCGGCGATTTGATGCGTAATATACAATTTCCTTTTTTAAAAATTATAATTCAAAATTTTCTGCTACTTTTTGACGTTTTTCTCGTCTTTTTTTGGCTTTGCTTACGGCTTTTAGTTCGGTGCCGATGAAGCGAAAAGCATGAACACGGAACTACTAAACTTTTTACAATCTACCAAGCCGATTATTAATTATGTTCCAAAAAAATTTAAAGCATACATGAAAATTACATTATTATTATTATTTTTTTTAATGTTAATTTGCGTAACTAAACGAAATCGATGCTTTTTATAAAATTAAAAAAAGGCTAAAATTCTGGTTTGAACTTAAATCTTATGAATGTTATGAATGTGATAGAGAAATAAAGAGGTGTAGGTGCAATAATTTCTTTTTTTAGGTCATTTAATTTTATATATATCTGTTTGTGAAAATCAAGATTAGGTTGGTGTTAACAATTATTTTTGATTTGAGAGGTTTAATGTTTATTCCCTTCAAAAGTAAAGAAAGAATTGAATCATAACGTTGGTTGATTGAAGTAAATTAGAAAAGTATCTTTATCATAGCTTTCATAATCAGAATCAACACTAATTATGATATTAAAAAAAGTTTTGGAATAAATCCAAATGAATCTAATTATTTTTCTGAGTTTTCCGTTTAATTTCAAGATAGATTCCAAAACCCATTCAATTGTGCCCCTTTTTAAGTTTTTCTTTTGTTCAAATTGCAGTGTGGATTTGGAATTTCCAAAGATCGAAATCAGATTTCAGAATTTGAATGTAGAAACCTATGTTCATGTTGGTAGTAGAGCATTACCAACAATTACAAATTTCATTGTTAACATGACCGAGGTATGTTACAAAAAATTTAAAAAAAAAAAAAAAAATCATTTTTTAAACTTATATCTTCATCAAACAAAAAAAGCACTTGAAAATGCTTATTGGTTACCCTTCTCAAAATCCCAAACAGGCTTTCTTAAGGCAATTGAAGATATACAAAGGGAAACGAAGAAAACTTACAATTTTGGATGATGTCAGCGGAATAATTAGACCTTCAAGGTGCAACATCAAGACAAAACTATTTATTTTTTTCTAGTAAATAAACAATTACACAATTAATTATGGATGATGTTATATTTACAGAATGACCCTTCTTCTTGGTCCTCCAAGCTCTGGAAAGACAACTCTGATGTTAGCCTTGGCTGGACGCCTTGGACATCATTTGAAGGTATGCTATGGACATTTAATTTTTAATTTTTTAATTTCTTTTTAAAGGCTAATGTCATAAATGTTAACAAACTATTTGTTTTTGTTCACAAAATTCCATTAAAAATCATCTAATAAGTCCCTGTATTTACACCTTGATTATATATAAGATGTCAGGAAAAATCACCTACAATGGACATGGTTTAAAGGAGTTTGTTCCTCAAAGAACATCAGCTTATGTCAGTCAACAAGATTGGCATGTTGCAGAGATGACAGTTAGGGAAACACTCGACTTATCTGCACGTTGTCAAGGTGTTGGATTTAAATATGGTAAGCTTTGGAATTTCTGATTATTTTGTATATACATGTTTCTTTGTGTACAAAAAAGCTAAATGATAGGTGTCAATGGTAGATATGCTAATGGAACTTACAAGAAGAGAAAAAATTGCTGGAATAAGACCCGATGAAGATCTTGATATATTCATGAAGGTATCAAACTTTCATTATTTGGATTTATTGCGGTTTAACTAATGAATATTTTTCGTTTTCTAGGCATTGGCTTTAGGTGGACATGAAACAAGTCTTGTTGTGGAGTACATTTTAAAGGTATTTGCTATTTATGCTATCACGATTGGTTGTTTTCTTGAAACATATTGTGTTAAGTGTTAACTAATAAATTTAATTTGAAAAAGATTCTAGGATTGGATACATGTGCAGACACATTGGTTGGAGATGAAATGTTGAGAGGGATCTCTGGGGGACAAAAGAAACGACTTACAACAGGCGAACTATTGGCGGGTCCCTCTAGAGTTCTTCTGATGGATGAAATATCAAATGGTCTTGATAGCTCAACCACATACCAAATAATCAAGTATCTCAGACATTCAACTCGTGCACTTGATGGGTCCACATTGATTTCTCTTCTTCAACCTGCTCCAGAGACTTATAATTTATTTGACGATATTATCCTCATATGTGAGGGCCATATTGTATACCAAGGGCCACGGAATACTGCGCTTGATTTCTTCTCATTTATGGGATTTCAATGCCCACAAAGGAAGAATGTTGCAGACTTCCTTCAAGAAGTAAGTTGTTACATGGTTATGTGGTGAGATCATGTTCTCAGAGCTTCCCAATGAAAAATAATAAAGAAACTTGAACACAAGAATATACGTGGATAACTCCAAAACCAGAGAAAAAAAAAAACCACTATATGATAATTTGTTACAATCACATAGACTAATCTTTCAATCTAACCCCCTAATTGCATCCACACTCTCCAAAGATTTAACTTGCTTTTCTACACCATGGAAAAGAACCATATACTTGAAGTGTATTTTATTAGGGAACTTGTGGTACTTTGAAACCAAAGCTTTGGACTACTTTATTTTTGCCAAATAATCTCAAAAGTTATGAAGTGAACGACTTATGAATGATTTGATTTCATTGAATTCAATATGACACAGGTTGTTTCTGAGAAAGATCAAGAACAATATTGGTCTGCTCCCGATCGACCTTATAGCTACATACCAGTTAAAAAGTTTGCAGAAGCTTTTCGTTCATATCGAGTGGGAAAGAATTTAGTTGAAGAACTCTCTGTTCCATTTGATAAGAAATACAATCATCCAGCAGCCTTGTCAACTTCTTGTTATGGTGTCAAAAGAAGCGAACTTCTCAAGACAAGTTTTAATTGGCAGTTGTTACTCATGCAAAAAAACTCGTTCATCTATGTGTTTAAATTCGTTCAGGTAATGTCACTCTCAAATTTTATCAAACAGAAATTTTATTATTGAATTCTTAAGTACAATGAAAACATGATCTACTGTTTTTGCAGCTTATATTTGTTGCAATCACCACAATGAGTGTTTTCTTCCGGACAACTTTGCATCATAGAACGGTTGATGATGGAGGTTTATATCTTGGAGAACTTTATTTTTCTATGGTGATTCTTCTCTTCAATGGGTTCACAGAAGTGTCAATGTTAGTAGCTAAGCTTCCAGTGATCTACAAGCATAGGGATTTACACTTTTACCCTTGTTGGGTTTATACACTTCCTTCTTGGATTTTGAGTATCCCAACTTCACTCATAGAGTCTGGTATCTGGGTGGTGGTTACATACTATGTGGTTGGACTTGATCCGAATATTGTCAGGTACATTTTATACTTTTTTTTTGATGGTCAACGCAAGGTCAAACCATGCTGATTCTTAGTTTCTTATAAATAAATGTTCAGGTTTTTAAAGCAGTTTCTGCTTTTTTTCTTTCTTCACCAAATGTCCATTAGTCTTTTCCGCTTGATGGGATCCTTGGGGCGTAATATGATTGTGGCTAACACATTTGGATCTTTTGCAATGCTGATTGTCATGGCTCTTGGTGGATATGTGATTTCAAGAGGTAAATTTGGATCCTTTATTTATTTATTTAATTTAATACTAATCTGTGTTCTTTTAAGTTTTAACATTTTCTTTTCTTCTCACCTTGTAACAGATAGTATACCGAGTTGGTGGATTTGGGGTTTCTGGATTTCTCCTTTGATGTATGCTCAAGAAGCTGCATCTGTAAATGAATTTCTTGGACACTCTTGGGCTAAAGTAATAATTTCTCTTTCACCTTTTATCACTCTTATCATTTCTTCCATAAGAGATAACATACTTCATGTTTTTTACACACAATAACAACTTACTTGTATTTTTCTATTGATTTAAGCAATTTGTTTTACAATCTTAGCTTTGTTCATGCAGAGAGATAACCAATCAATGATGACATTAGGTGAGAGGTTGCTGAAAGCACGCAGTATTTTCCCTCAGACTTATTGGTATTGGATTGGCCTTGGTGCTTTGCTTGGATACACAATTTTATTCAATGTTCTTTTCACTTTCTTCTTATCTTACCTTAATCGTAAGCCATCTCTCCTCTCTATATAACTTTTCTTTCTTTTTTTTTCTTTTACATTTCTTGTTTATTGAGAAATTTCAAACTTATAGCCTTGGGAAGGAGCCAAGCCATTGTTTCAAAAGCAGACCCCAAGGGCAAAGATGGAAAGAACAGCGAAAGTGTTGTCATTCAACTCAGAGAGTTTTTGGAGCATTCAGGCTCTTTCACAGGTACCCATTGCTTCATGATCCAAATTCTTCCTTTTTCAATCATTATGTACATATAATCCGATCAATAAAAATATCATTTACAGGAAAGAATATAAATCAAAGAGGCATGGTTCTACCATTTCAGCCACTTTCCATGGCATTCAGCAATATCAATTACTACGTTGATATCCCTCTGGTTTGTAAATTTCATCCTTTATTTTTATATGAAAGACTTAGCAATTTAACATCATGTGATTAATTATATAGGAATTGAAGCAAGAAGGGGTTGTAGAAGATCGATTGCAGTTATTGGTGAATGTCACCGGAGCATTTAGGCCAGGTGTCCTTACCGCATTGGTCGGAGTAAGTGGGGCCGGAAAGACCACACTGATGGATGTCCTTGCTGGAAGAAAAACTGGT